GTATGGTAGCCACAACTTTGTGCATCAAAACACAGCAATGGTTCACAACACATTTTTATCTGCACTTTTCTTTTTATTATTACCAGAAATAACAGACTTCTAAATTAGACCATTTGACATCGTATGTTACAAAAGAACAAAAAATTCAAAATAACTTCAAAATATTTCATAGTTTATATATATATTTTTTAATTTTATCTAATTGTACTGGTACATATTCGCATATCTTTCCACTATTACAACAAAATTATTGCAAGCTAAAACATTAAGAAGCAATGGTTTACTCTGTAAACTCTATGTTATCCAACACAGACAGTGTGTTAATTTTTCTTACCCATGTCAATATTTGCAGTAAGCACAAAAATATAGAGATAAAGAGGAAAAAAAAGCTGAAAAAAGTTCTCTACACACTTTTTTTTTTTTAGCACAACAGAACTTCTGCCATTAGGAATTAAAAGACAACAGAAGTTTAGTCCTTGGTCAACAGGGATATCTTCAAAATAATAAAGCTGCTGTTAAACCCCCCCAATATTAATCAGTGCAAGAACTCAACATACAACTTCATATGTAGTTCCAGTATCAAACTGCATCAAAATAGATTTGGACTGATACCAACGATAATGAGCTACTACATACTTCAAAATGCATTTGGCACCAGAAAACTAAATGCTTATAACATATGACTCTTCTGTATGTCAAACATCCATACACATACCCCAAGAGTTCTGGCAGCTGCTGCTAAGGCAAACACAGTATCAGCTTTCAGCTTTAAAGCTAACTCATTTGAACTACACAGGTTAAAAAAATTATGTAGTAAGTTTAGTATGCATTTCCTAATTCACTGACAGTTACAGGAAGAGAAAAATATCTAGATCCTCTGAAATCTCTCTCTCTGAAGAGTATCATGTATTGCAATTATAACTTCTATGAAGAGTCTCCATTCGAGTTCTCTCTCAACAGTTCAGCTTAGTCTTTGTTCCAGAACAGCCTAAGTTCTGTAGCTCACGTAGCCTTTTTTGAAACAGGTTAGCCAAATTGTTTAACCAGCACAGATAAATTTAGACATTACAGTGCTAGATGAAATACCAATGTATGTTTTCTTACCTATTAATAAAGCTGACTAATTTTCAGAAATAAACTCCTTCCTTACTCTCTGTACTTTACAAATATTAAAAAGTCCATTACCTAATGCTTTAGCTTTTAAACAGTAAGCACTTTAACCATTCTCTTTGTGTTTAGTGCCTCATTCTACAACAGCGCAGAAACTATAGTCCTATCCAGACTTCAGCACAGCTCAACACTGTAGAGAAAACCCTGCTTAACTGGAATATACAACTGAACTAGAGTTTAACTCCTAGCTGTGGTGTTAACCCACTGTTTACATTTTAGTTCATACCTCCACTTTCCCTTCATAATATCCGAGTACTGTAAATTCTTTGAAAGTAAAAGTATTTTATACTTTTTTTTTTTACTTTTTTCTTTTCTTCAATAGTGGTAGTAGAAAGTATTCAAAACAGACATCAGAAGATTTTTTCTATACAAGTTAAGTTTTTTCCTTTCCAGATTACAACAGATTCCTAACTTCACTGAGGTCAGATGTACTGATCAAGTTAGGAATCTGGGATTTAAGTTCATCCCATCATCAACTGGAAGATTCCTTTTCTGCAACTAATGAGAGCCATGGCATTAGGTCACTCTTCTACACAACCACACAAGCATGCCCAATAGCATGAGAGTTGTGCTACCACCTGTACAGTCTTGCTACTGGCTCATTTATTTTGAGGTAGAACAGATCACTATGAAAATCTAACCACTAACTGTGCCTACAGAATCCCACTTAGTAATTCTTATATCAAACTCATAAAGTCTATTTTAAGTAACAACAATTCTCTTAATCATACTGCATTTCATGTTGACATAAAATAATTCCACATTGCCAAGGAAAACAATGGAACATTGAGCCAGAATGTTAATCAATTTCTAAGAACTCAGTGAAGCAACTTATTAATTTTGCGCAGATCTAGGATTATTAATAATCCAATCAGACTGCTCTTGAGCTATGGGATACATTATTTCAAGAAAAAAAACCCCATCCTAACAGCTTGTTTTCTTGGTGTTAAGCGTATCAAGATCCACAGATGTATGAAATATCTTTTTGTGACACTGTGGGTAAGGTGAAGAGCAACAATCACTTTTTCTGCACCTCTAAATGTCCTTTTCTTAATGGCGACTGGAATATTGCAATCCAAAGCACAAACTAAGTATAAAGATGACTAGGATCAGCTTCTAGGATATCCGAGTAGAAGACGAGATGATAGGCTCTATGTTTTTTTCTCCCAAAGCATTTGGTTTCTCTGAATATGAAACTGCTGTCGCTTTCAAAAAGAATGGAACTTCAAGACTGGAAAACAGAATTATGCTCTTTGATTTAGTGGTTTTTGTATGAGCTGTAAGAATGTGGGACATTCTGAAATCTTTATCTTTGTTGTTTCACTTCGTATCATCATAAATTGAAAATGCACCTTCTTAAATCAAGATACAAGATGAAACACACATCATAAAACTTAATAAATACCCAGTATTCATCACACCTTTCTTGAGTGCTGGAAAAAATTATTTGTGCTAGACAGAACATCGAAAATTAAATTTTGGTGGAAAGGAAGAGCAATTTTTAAACATGATGTCATTATTGCACAATGTGCAATATTAAAATTCAAAAAGGAGATTCTCAACTGAAACCATAGAAGGTGAGGTAACAGTGATGAAAGGTAATTTCAGTGGTCAGAAGGACTAAGGCATCTTTTGCAGAGGAACAGAGAGAATCTTTAAAGGCAATAAACCTAATTAAATCCCACACACAAGTTTTCTGTATTTTAGGTAGACAAAACAGAAGCAAATGATGTTCTCCAAACATTTAAGATAAAATTAGAGAAGCCTTTCTGTTGAAGTTTTAAAAGATACGGAAGAAAGAACAATTCAATCCTGAACTACTGAATAATGAAATCTAAACGCAAATCTGAGAAATTGCAATGCCAAGATACATAAAGAATCATGAACATAGTTTTAATATATAAAAAGGTAAATTTCTTGTGTGTTACTTTTCTTCTAAAAGATAAGAGGCTATCTTACGACAGAGAGAATGAAGCACAGATGCCTATACACTGAAGCGTGACTTCTTATTAACAGTCCTTGCTAAATGGAAGGATACATTATGTACAAGAGGTTAAACAGCACAGGTTTGGTTCATAAAACAGAGCAACCAGACTCACAAGTGCTCTTCTCAGCCTTTTGTAATGTTCCAGTACACTCAAGGAAGAAGTGGGAAAAACAAAACAGTCTTGTCACCTTTACATTTGTCTCACACCTAAACAAACTGTTTTCCCAAAAGATGAAATCCATACATAGTTTATTTTCTGACCAATTTTTTCCTTCCTCTTGAACCAGATGACTGCAATAATGGTTTATTCTCAGATGTGATGGAAATAGACTGTAATCCAGGAAAGGAAAGTTAATCTGTAGTTAAAAATAGGTAAGGCCATAATAAACATCTGATCTAACCTGTGCATAACACAGAGCATAGAATCTCACCAAATTCTTCTTTGAAGAGTTCAAAACATCTCTTAGAAAGGGATGCCCTCTTGAGGTTGAAACACCAAATAATATAAATGCCATTGAAAACACTGCCAAATTATTTGAGAAGTACATGTGTTTTAACGAGACAAATATTTATCCCAGTTGATCCATCTTGTAAATCTAATCATTAGCTTACAATAAATTTGTCTGCTTCTGCATAAACTAAGCAGGTGGGTGCCAATCACTGCAAGTACATTCTCTGTCTCTGGCAGACTCAAATTTTTCAGTATTAGTAAAACAACATTATGAGGACAGATGGTGAACTCCAGCTTTCCATCCAGTCTCTCAGCTAGGTGTCCTAAGCAGCACTTTCATGAGTTAACAGTAGAGTGGGAAAACTCCAGGGAGTCAAAAGGGAGAGGGATGGGAGGCCGCAATATTCATAGGGTCGAGACAAGTTACAAAGCCGACAATTTTCTAGTGATAATTGTTGGGGACAAGGGGGGTGGGGGGGAAGGGAAGGAAGGGCAGGAATCCAAGGTGCTACACCCACATCTAATAACCACATATTTGTCTTCTATGTAAAAGTCACTCTATTCAGCGCTGAATTTCTAAAACCAAAACACACTGCACCCACATGGAAAACTTGTATACCTCTGTTAAAAAAAAAAAACAACACTAAACCACAAAACCAAAATTAGTTCAAATACAAGTGATCATAACATGACCCAGCTTAGAAACAGAATAAGGCACAAACTACTGGGCTACATTAAACAACAATTAATGTTTTACACTTAAAATGTTATAACATTTAATGCTTAAATTGTTGAAATAATTTTCTTCCAGTTGCTCAACAATTACTTTTTTTTAATGTTATCTCCTCTTTAATTACTCTATCATCTTAAGCAAGTGCAGGGTATAAACTATCAAATTATTGGCTTCCTTCAGCTTATTCTTAAGTTAAGGCCCTCCCTGCCTCTACCAAACAATTAAAAGAAAGATCCCATCTCTGTTCATACTAAAAGACCCTGGTTCTTAAAAAATAAACTGATGCACACAAGCTCTCCTGGTCAGAATGTCCAGTAGTGATGGGCTTTTCAATCTATCTGCCCTATTATAAGGCTTTAACTAGAAACACATTTTCCTGATAATACATACACCCATCTGTTTTCAGAGATTCCAGGGCAAAAATGATCACTGTGCTTATTCTGCACTTGTAAGAATGGGGATGAACTGAAAAGCATATGGGGAACCCCCACCCCCATCCCCCCCGCCCTAAACCAACAAAAACATCCCCAAGGAAACAAACAAACAAAAAACCCACCAACCCCACCCACTGTGTCGGTAAAACTTTGATAACCTAAAGATATGATGCTGATTTTATCTTTCCCTTTTCAGCTACATTTTTCAGGAAATGCACAATGTCCTTCTATTCCTGCAGGAATAAGCTAGAGTGCCTTTCTGTACCTCAGTGACTCAGAACGAACACCAATGCTCTGCTGGTCAACCTTGGCCTGCCTCAAAGACTATCTAGAATAGAGACATCAGTAAAAGACATGCAAAAACCCACTGTTTGCCTTTCAGTGCAGATAAATCTCACTTAAAGCTTCAAGTAGAAGCTGTTTTAAATCCAAGAAAAATCTTGAAAATAACCCTCCGTATGCATGAGGTGCATCAGTTAGTGTCAAATGTGTAACTACGGACAAGAACCAGCCTTTAATATGCTCATGTTGTCTTTGGCCATTCAGAAGGGATCCTGTCAATCTATTTATCCAACGCAACTAAATCCAAGAAGCACATTTGACTGTCAAGCTTGTGAAGAACAGCAGTTCTGGATTTAGCCTCCTACTTGGCAGTCCAACTAGGGCACCACACTATCCAGAAAGACAAGGTTCTCTTTATACAGTAAGAACGATCAAAACTGAAGAATTATCTTATATTAAAAGCACAAGTTTCTGTCACCAGACAGAACACACAAAGACTAACTACATTCTGCAAAATTTCTTCAAACTTCTAAATTGGTTTTCTGTGTTGGCAGTGGGTGTGATAAAATCATGAAGGGAACAGGGCTAAACCTTCTAATATCATAGCAACTGACAAAAGGGCTGAAAAATTCAGTTTGGACCAGAAATATTTCACTGTACAGTACTGAGAACAGAAGTGAAGATAAGCCCCTTCTGTACCATAGCCTGGAGCTGCACTACTTGAGATAAGCAGAACAATCTGGTAAGTATCCAAAAAGGCAATACCAAGTAAAGAGATACGGGGCTTGCTTCACCCTCCCCAAGTCATCTGTCTTGAGATAGAGTAACTACACAAGGTTTGGCAAATAGGGATAAGACAACCAATTTGATCTACAGTGTATTTGTATTATAAGGGCATTCAACTGACTAGAAAGTGTTTTCATTGGATATTTCAGTGGTTCTGTCCTTCAGAATCATTCCAGAAATGAGCCACTCTCTATTTACTGACTACAATGGGAACCTAGGAATTGTGCTTGCAGTGAGCCTTCATGAAAATCCCTCCAACACTCTAGCTTTAACAGAGAAATAATAGCTCTCTAATAGAGAAAAAATGCAGCAGAGCAGGTTTTTTTATAAAACTGTTGCTTCTGCCTAGATTTCTTCTCTGCAACAAATAAACATGTAAACATTTTTATCAAGTTCACTGTACTACTCCCGTGCATTTAAATTGATGGGGTTACACAGGGAGAAAATTATTAATAGAAACAGATAAGTATCATCTCTTCAATTATGTAAGAATTTTCAGAAGTAACTCTGGATTCCCTAGACACTGAATGCTCCTTTTCTCCTTTAGCCAATATGGACAGAACTCTTTGCAGCAGTAGTTTCTAACTGTTGGGTAGACGTGCATCTCTTAACATTTAGCTATAAGACCAACATGTTGAGCTACATTTACAGTTTAGGATCTGCAGAACCAAAAATGTTGTTCATGTTATTTCAATGTGAACATTAGTAGCAAACACAGTTGAGTAAGGTTAACAGCGGTATCATAGTCATGTAGAATACAGTAAATAGACATACAATACTGGCCTATTATCTTTTCTAAACAAATAAATTGCTAGTTACATTTATTTTTAGTTATATTTCAATTGAAATTATTTTCATTTTTGAGTCAGAACTTTGTCAAGTTAGTTACAGACTTACCTTGCTGCGTGTTTTTACTTTCAATTTAGTCTTCTGTTTCCTTTTCAATTTTTTCTTGCTAAAAAGTTTCTTACTTCTGAAAAAGAGCAGAAAAGCCATGAGAACAAAAGAATTAAACTTCCTTCCATACCCCATGCTAAAGAGCAGTAGCAGCAGCAGGGGAAAAAAAATGTCCTAAATACTCTAATTCTTTTTCTCCTAAGCAAACCAACACAGGCAGAATTTCAGAGTATAAATCAGACTATGAAGCACTTAAAATGATGCTTTCCTAATGCTCCACTGAATTAAGGGCCTTTACTCTCATCAATTTAAGCAGAATATATGCTAGGACAGACAAAAAAAAAGTCCCTAAACTTTATACCGTTTTACCTTACTGTTTCTATTACAAGCCCATTAGAGCCACAACAATGCTAGAAGCAAGAATTCTTGACAGTTCTCAGTAATATAACCTGTTAGTACGGAACACTTCTGTTTTGTGAAGTCTTTACCAGATAAGGATTCAAGCCTTCCAAGACAAAAAGGAAACTTTACAAACGTATCATTTGGCAGAAAATTCAGCTGGTGGAAGAAACTGGAACTTTTGAAATACAGATTTTTAAATTTTTGTCTGGACTTTTCCACCCACAGTTTACAGACTTTTCATTTCCACCCCTTTAATGTTACAGCCCTAGCTAACACATGCTCCTCTAATCCTCTTCTGCCCACACCTCATTCCTATCACATTCTTTTTCTCCTGCATTTTACTACCCAGGAAAAAAAAAAATAAAATTACACCATACACACAATTGTTTTGTCACCGTGATTGAGATTACGCATGCTTTTTCACCTACTCTACATTGATCTGATCTGCTCAGATTATAAACCCTCCACAAAAAAAAGGCAGATGCTGTCTGTGCAGCATACAGCTCATCCTATACAGGACTTTAAGCAACACCTACTAACATTCCTCTGTGCCACTTAAACATTATTCAAATACTTTACAGTTCAGATTAGTTGGAAAAATAAAACTATGGAATCTGAAAAATCACAGGCAGTAAGAAGTTGCACTTTCAACTAACAAAAGAGAATGAGAATCAGGAGAACCATAGTATTTTATTCAAATAATCTTGTTCTAAATAAAAAAATCTGAGGGACTGAAACCACATTGCTTATTACTCTTTCCTGTACAGCATTCAGACTGCAAGAGTATACAAGTCTCATGGTCCAGCAGTCAAAAGCTGGAAACTAAAGTTTGACAACAACCACCAGTCGGAAAACAAGCTCAAAGAAAGAACCCCTGCGGAGTATCCCAGGAAAGCTGCCTGCTAGAAATTTCATCACCGTTCCCATCTTCACCTACCAGCCAAGAGGGAAGTACATTCCTCACCAAGATAGTTCCTGCAGAAACAAATCAGCTCACCACTTTTCTCATAGGGAACCACCACCATTACCCTGGAGTTAAGAGAAGTGATTCCGTGAGGGGGAACCCCCCACCCTCCCCAGTAAATTAAAGCTTATAAAGAGAACCTAGATTACCTCCTAAGATTCCTTCAACAGCAAAGTTTCACTATGTAACAGTATACAATGTATTTAAGAAGCAGAGGGAAGAAATTTCATACAACCTTTAATGTCCAGATTTCTACACAATCAAACTCCATAGTCCATTCCACTATTTAATTGGACAGGTTTTTATTCCTTTTTTGAGTTTAAAGCAGTTAATTCTTATTCTGCTGTCAAACATGTAGAACAGCGCAGTCCTTTCCATTCTGTAGCTACTCAATCTTCTCTGGACCGAATAAGCTTTTACAAAGTGTAAACTTTAAGAGTTTATGAAGTCTAACTTTAAGTGTAAAAGTTCTGATTTATTTTGGACAACTTCTGGGCTCTCTCAGTCCACACCACAAGTAAACCACACTGAAAGCAGTACTTATTATTTGCTATTAAGAAGAGGAAGAATTGCCTCATATTCCTCCAAGATGACTCTTTTAACTGTATTCAGGTATCATTTGGCAGCTTCACAGCAATATGGTATGGCAGACATATGTAACCCAGAGTGACCTGAAAACATTTCCCTGCAAACCTCCAAACTGAGCTTCCAATACTCTTTATGTAGTTGTGCTGTTAATTATGCCCTTTAAACACACTACAATTTGCACTTACTAGAGAGAAGTATTGCTTGTTGTTTTGGTTTGTTTTTTTTTTAAAAAGGACACTAACTCAAGTTGCTAACACATTTAAAGTTTAATCCTGCCTGCCAAAATCCTTGTAAACTCTCCAAATTTGTTATAGTCTGAAAACATTTTTTTACAGCACTTTATTGTCTTGTAAATTTTTCACAGGACCAGTCCCCACATTTTTGTATGTGTTTCTCTCTGGGTATGTATACATCTAGAAACACCTAAAATTAAGCCTTTTTTTTCCCCCCACTAAAATAAGGCTCATTTTGAAAGTGACAAAACCCCCATGATTTTGCAGACTAACTTCATTTGTCAATGATACCTAGACAATGTTTTTTCTCCAATTAGCAAGCAGTTAAGATCAGCAATGGGCTGACTTCCTCTTTCAGATTCCAAGTGGTGATGGTGGTATGATCTCCCTCATTCATACATCAGCCATTAAAAATGCTGCAAGCATAAACCTTTCCTAGTCACTCCACTGTAGTGGTCATTATGTTCAGCAGAATTTAGGCTTGAACAATTTTTTATGTTGAAACTTAGGTATAGAAACGTCATATTAAGAATCCACATTTATCTCCCTATTTTTTCTTAAAACCTCAAGGATACTGAAATCCCAACATTTTTGTTAGGAAGTGCACTTTCCTCCTGTATCCAAATGGAATTTCAGAATTAGTGATTAATTAAAAAATAAAAAAAACCCTCATCAACACTAATTTTATAAACAGTTCTGAGCAACCAGTCATTACTATGCATAATTCTAATACTAACGTTTATAACATTTCTGCATATAACAAAGATATATACGATTATCCACATTTCTACTGTTATATACCACTATATCAGAAGGTTTTAATATTCAGATAGAAAGGATAAAAAATGGGCAAGCATATTAATGAAAAACAACGTTAAGCGGATAATGAGTAATTTCCTGTTGGAAACCCCGTGTGTTAATTATAAGCCTGACTCTTCCACCGCCTGAAGATTAACAAGACCTGATATGGCTTGGTTAGATTTTTTTTTTTTTAGATAAATTATTAATTATGGGTTTAGTTAACAATTGTAAATTGCTGTAAGCTGTCGTTTGTAAAGTTCTTGAAACTCTATGCTGACAATCTGCTTCCAGTGGCAGAAGGCCTTTAGCCTTTAACTTTTAACTCAGCTGTTGATACCATTTAGTTCACACAAACCAAACACAGATTATCAACAAATCTTAGGCAGGTTTTCTGCAAACTGCTTCAAGCCATTGTAACATTTGAGACTAAGTTCGCAGTTTTGAATTGGACCACAAAGGAAGTGCACCTCAAACGGGTGCAGAACATGAAGATAGCTTGACAAGAAAATATTTGTAGCAAATGGACCCAAAAAAGGAGTGTGTAGTGTTATTACAGCAAAAATCTGTTGAGAATAAAAGCAAAGCCCTAACGTGTTCAAACCTCAAATACAGAACAATTGTCTCAAACCAAAGGGGTGGAGGGGGGAAAGAGGGGTGGTCATCCACCGATTGTCAGAAAACTTAAAATAGGTAGCATAGCTGTTAAATGGCACAATCGCAACTTCTATTCAGCTTTGTGGCACCTGTAGTGGAAGGAAACAGAAGCATGCTTAGTTCATTTGTTTTCTAAACCAGAAGCAACATAAGCTAGTACTTGCAATATTTGCTGCATTACTAGGGGGACGCTCCTCAGTTGTCTCAACACCATAGCTCTTACTCTGTTCAAAAGAGCTGAGGAAATGCAAACAGAGCAATCTTCCCCTCAAAGTCGCAGTAGTCCTGAACTGCGATTCATAAGCTTACATTTGAGAAGGAAGCTTTAGATGTTGAGCGTTCCCCCTGCTCAATGTTGTTACTGAATTACTCAATATGGGCTAACGTTATGTTAACCTTATGGTAATAGTGTCACACCTGCATAAACTCCTCTAGGCTGTATGTTACACTAAAAGTGCTACTAACAAGTGGAAAAGTTATCACCCTGTCTCTGCTGTTGAGGCAGAATAGGAGCAACAACAGTGTTATTCACCTGCTGTCTGACATAAAACCTTTGCTTCTTTCTGAAACGCGTTACCAAAGGTCACGGTAGCTACTACAGCATTAGACCCAGTCATTCTACTGTTGATTAAATCTTTGAGTACATTTTTGAAAAATGAGTGAATTCAGGAAGCTGCATGCTAGCACATGCTAAAATTTTAAAATCTTCCAACTGACTTTGACTCAGTGTATTTGCCTAAACTAGCTTGCTCTGGTCTGACAGGAGAGGTCTAATAAAAGTCAGGCTACATCCAGACAAATGACAAATATACTGCGTTATTTTGTTTCCATATGTCCTTACTCTGCACAGTTAGCTTAAGCATTCAAGGGCTGGTGGAAATGCTCTTAAGAGGCAGCAACCACTCAGTGACACCGAAATGAAACACTGTTAGATTTGCACCACCAAATAATTCTTTTGTTCCCTCCACTTGGTGAATTATTTCTGCTGGTGGTTAACTTGGTTGGACAAGAAGCAGCAAGCATTTGCTTATGAACAACCCAAAGTGAAATCCAAAGCTGAAATTGTCAAGTAGCCTGCAACTGCGAGCTTTTATCACATCATGTCTCGGGATCTTTCATCACAGCATTGAGTTCCTTAAAAAGCTCTAAATCTACCAACACACTTTACTCAAGGGCAGTGAAATGCAAGTACTGACACATGGACATGTTGAAAAGTAATGAACTGATGTTTCCTCCACTGTTTTCCTCAGCTGTCTCACACTAACAGCTAAAGATCAGCAATACTAATTTTTTTATGTGCAGAAGTCACATGATAACTAGTGCTGTTTGGCAGCTTCCTTTGTATGGGTACTTTACTGCCATAAAGGATCTACAAATTACAAAACACTTTATCCAGAGGTTGTCACTACATGACGAGATTTCATGTTTGCCATA